TTTTTATGTGTGTGTATATATATTATATATACTTTTTAATATATATATATGTAAATACATATATGTGTGTATATGCGCATATATATGGGTGCGCACGTAAAAATAGATGGTTTTTTCTTCCCCTTCTTGGCTGTGGCGTTGGAAATGAGTGGGACACGGTGCGCGTTGGCCGCCGTTGTGCGGGACCGGCGCTGGAGGCCGTCTGTGGGGTTGGTGCGAGCGGGCCGAAAAGCACCCTTAACGTGGAAAGAATTGGCCATTTGTCTTGGTATCCTGGGAAAGCCCTGGGCATCGTCTTCTCAGATGCGGCGAAATTCCTCCAAGCAAACGTTCTCGTGGGGTTTTTTTTGGGTCAGAAACGCGGCTGGGCTCCGTGCCCCACCTCTGAGCATCCCATTAATTTTCCACCCTTGTCCCATCGCTTCATCTCAGCCCTTGAGCAAGTTTTTTAACTAAAGCTGCGCCCAGGAAAAAGAAAAAAAAATACCAAAAAACCCTAACAAAAAACAAACTTCTGAGGAGTTTGAAATTGAGTCGAGTTGGGTGAGAAATCGCAGGGCGGGCGGGTGACAGGCAGAGCCCCCCGCGGGGCGGTGGGGAACCAGGAGAGCTGCACCGCGGGGTTGGAGACCCCCAAGCGCCCTCCGTCGAAGGACCCACAGCCGAGCGAGGGGCGGCACCAGGGGCCCGTCTTAGCTCTAAACAAATGGCGCAGTGGGTGCCAAGTGTTGACATACTTTGTGCAAACAGGAAGTAATAAAATATTTGAACTTCCTGTGGAATTTCCTTTTTTTTTTCTTTTTTTCTTTTTACCCTCCCTTCGCTGCAGCTCTTTATTTAGCAAGAGCCGGACTCGGCCGAGCTGCAGCCCTGGTGCAAAGCCCTCTCGTGTCCCCGGCTGCTTGCAAAATAATCCACAAGTGGCAGAACGTGGAAAAAACGGATAGCTGGAAGCTCTACGGGGATGTTTAGGCTGTTCCTGGTTAAACGGGAGCATCTCCAGGGCCTCCCCCATCCCATCCACCTGCTGGCTGCCTTCCCCTTCCACTTCCCCTTCCCCTTCCCTTTCCCCATCCCTTCCCATCCTTTCCCCTCCTCTCTGCTGATGCTTCTGCTCTCCTCCTCCCAACTCCCCCTGGCAGCACTTCTTGCCCATCTCCTGGGAACTCTTGTGTAAAGTCTTTTTTATTTTTTCCTTTAAATGCCTTTTTTTCCTCCCTTTTGACTTTTTTTCTAGCTGCCGTTTAGTCTTCCTTAACCTGTATAAATCCCCTTTGCCCTTAACCCCTTATTTCTGATTTCCACCCCATCCCTGCTGTCCCGGCCACCGTGTCGAGGAGGAAAGGGGGACCAAGAGGACTTGATCACCAGCCGTAACCCATGTAGGGAAGCACATCTGTACCCAGCTGTGCTCACTCAGGGTTAAAACCATCCCTCTGTCCACGAGTGTGCCCAGAGCCCTGTGTGCCGGTGCCCGGGAGGTGGGAATGTTGGCAGAGGTGCCAGTGATGGTCGTTGATGTCTTCCACCCTGCTCATTTTGGGTGTGTGCGTCAGAGATTCGGTGCTTTTGGATGTGTCCCTGCTTGGTGTGACCACAGTAAGTGCCGGCAGCGCGTCCCCGTGCCGCAGCATCTGCTGGGCTTGGGCTGGGAGGAGGAGGGGGCAAGAACATTTCATATCCCCTCTCCGTCTTGTCCCTGCAGGGTTTTTCTGGCTGGGGCCTGTCCTGCACAGGCACAAATCCCCCTCCGTGGCCACTCTTCCTCCTCAAAAGGCTCCTTCTTGCCGTGTCCCTGGGGAGGGAGCGATGGGGCTGTGCCAGGAGCGGTGCCACCCCAGAGGGGACAGCCCGGTGTCCGCCGATCCGGCTCCCCCCTCGCGCGGCACGTAGCCGGCGGGTGGAACGGCTTCTCCCCCCCCACGGCTCTGAGTCGTTTCCAAGAACCGCCGCTTTTTGCTTTCGTATTTTTGAGAGCCTCAGCTGGGTGAGGGTTTCCCTCCCCGCCTGCCCCCCGCGCTCGGCTGGGAAACGATGGGTTTGGGATCTGCGGAGGGTGGAAACCCCCTTGTCCCTGCCCGTGCGAGGGGTTAGTGGCATCCGTGTCCCCGAGGTGCTGGCGGTCA